TCTGCACAGGAGGCCAGCACATTCAATTAACCAGCCCAACTTTTTGATCACTAATCAGATGAAAGTTAGACAACAAGAGAGAACGGTGAGACAAGGATGCTGTTTTTGTAAGATGAATGAGGATGATTACAAGCCTGAGAATTCTATCTACCAAAGCTGCTTAAAGATTGTTAATATAGTATGTTCATTACAGGCTTTGTCTCCATGCTGGCAACAGCCAGTGGCCACAGACATGTTTTCAGGTTGTCCCTCCAGCTAATTCCTATGAACACGATATCTCAAGAATGTCACGGAATTCTCTAAATTTGGAACAGACTTTCAGTTGGACTCAATAATGAACTGACCTCTGTGACCTTACAGATCAGAGTTTGGGTCTTATCAACCCAACATCTCAAGATCACCTTGAGGGAAATTCTTCAAATTGGGCACAAGCATTTAGTTGGACTCACAGATGACCAGATTTTTTTGGTTGTAGGTCAATACTCAAGGTACTCATATAGACTACTCTTACTTTATAATTTTACTGCACTGATTTTAACTGTCATTTGATATTGCACTGATGTCATTGTTGTTTACTTTCTTGTTTTTATTTGCCTCGACATGCTCTAAGTACCTTAGATTTGCTCTCCTGGGGCAAATAACATATTAGCAGTTGGTGCTAAGGCTATGACTAAATATAGGTATTGTAAATGTCTTCAGGCTGGGACTCTTAATTAACTTGCCAGGTTTGAAACAGTTGGGCAATTTATATTCTGGCGAGACATCGAAGTTCGCACTGCTACTGCTATTCACCCATTCATACAGTGCATCTATGGAAGGACACTCCTGCACACAGATGGGAAAGACTGGAAACTCACCACCGATCTTCTGGTTGGAGGACGTCCGCTCTTCCCCTCACCACAGCCACAGACTGCTTGATAAACAATACACCTTCTCACATATTCTACCATTACTGGCATTCAAAGTTCATCTTTGAGTCCAACTGAAATGTTTTAACAAATTAGAAGGCATTCATGACACATTGTGTTTACAAGAATAGGATGGACAAACGAACAACCAGAAAACATGATGCCTCCAGCCACAGGCTGTCGCTTTACTTTGAGTATGGAGAGAAAGTGAATAAATAAATAAATGCAAAGGAATAAACAGAACCTTGACTCAAATCATCCATTCCAAAGCAAAAACACAGTGTGTGTTTTCTACTGCAGCAGACTACACAGAGCTCCTCTTTTCTTATTGCTTTGCTGATTCTCTCCTACAGCGTGTTCATTAGGGTGGGAGCTGTCAACTACAGGATTGCTTTCTATCTCACTGTGACACAATCAGCCATTCCATTAAGCTGACAATATCATCTCTCCATTTTGTGAATGACAGTTTATTTTGTGGAAGGCAGGATATCAACACCAAGGCCATGTCATCAGGAAGAAGGAAAACCCACTGGCAGTACCACATATGACTGGTTTCAAAGTGCGGGAAGCTTTGGGTCAAGAATATTAGGACTGTAACATGTTGTAAAGGTTACTCAGTCAGATGTTTACATGTCCTAAAACCTCACACCACAAAAAAGGGTTTGTAGGCTTATGTTGAGAAGATTATGAAAACCAGCTGTCCATAATATTCTCTTATCCAGTGTCTACTTTTTTAAAGTAGTGAAATGTCACTTATTCGTTAACCAACTGTCATGCTCAGCTGTCTGATTGCTTTGAAAAGGTCCTGGATTTATATACACTGCTCAAAATAATTAGGGGAAAACTGTAAAAGGTACAGTGTGTAGAATTTCATGATATCTAGTGTAGAAATTGCATGTTGCAGCTGAACACCCTCACCTCACCGTCTCCTTCCAAAAAGAAAAAGAAACTGTGGTAGCCTTTAATTGTCATGAAAACTCAAAAGGTGTTTCGTTTGTCCAGTCTGGACTAATGTAAAAAACATGGCGGTGTCCATAGAGAGGACCCCCTTGATGTAAATATAAAGTATTTAAATATAAAGGGCCTTTTCTGGGGTAAAGAAAACTACAAATCATAGAATTTAGATGAAATGAACTAGTGAAAACATCATGAGGATTATTCTACATTTAATATCTGCCAATAGATCCCTTTCACCTAAATCTTACACACTGGGCCTTTAAATCACACATCAGATCTTGATGAACAAATTTTTCATGTTGAAAATCTTTACTGATGTACATTCTATCATTTGTTGAGAACAAAATGATTAGTCATTTACTCCTTGATGGCTGGATTCAAAATCATAACAAAAATCAAATAAAGTTGAAATCACAGGGTGATCCCACTCATAATGTGACTTAGTACTGTGTATGGCCCCCACGTGCCCGTATGCACTCCTGACAATGTCTGCTCCTGATGAGCCAGCAGATGGTGTCCTGGGGGATCTCCTCCCAAACCTGGATCAAGGCATCACTGAGATCCTGCAGTCTGTGGTGGTGCTTGGCAGCGTCTAATACACTGATACATAACGTCCTTTAGGTGCTCAATTGGATTTAGGTCACAGGAATGTAAGGGCCAGTCAATGTCTTCGTCATCCAGGCACTGCCTACACACTCTGGCCACATGAGGCCAGGCATTGTCCTGCACCAGGAGGAACCTCTCTGAGGATATCATCCCGGTACCTAACAGCAGTCAGGGTACCATTGACTATGACTATGGTCTGTGCGACCCTCCAGTGATATGCCTCCTTAGACCATCTCTGATCCACCACCAAACCGGTCATGCTGGATGATGTTACAGGCAACATAACGGTTACCACAGCATCTCCAGACTATTTCACGCCTTTCACATGTGCTCAGTGTGAACCGCTCTCACCTGTGAAGAGAACAGGGTGCCAGTGGCAGACCTGCCAATTCTGGTGTTCTCTGGCAAATGCCAATTGAGCTGCACAGTGCTGGGCTGTGAGCACAAGTCCCACTAGAGGACTCCGGGTCCTCATGTCACTCTAATGGAATCTGACTGTATGGTCAGAGACATGAACACCAGTACCCTGCTGGAAGCCATTTTGTAGGGCTCTGGCAGTGCTCCTCCTGTTCCACCCCTCACAAAGGAGCCGATACCAGTCCTGCTGCTGGGTTGATGCCCTCCTTCTGCCCTGTCCAGCTCTCCTTGTGTAACTGCCAGTCTCCTGGTATCTCCTCCAGGCTCTTGAGATCATGCTGGGAGATACAGTAAACTTTATTGCGACCGCATGTATGGATGTGCCTTCCTGGAGGAGCTGGACTACCTGTGCAACCTGATTGGGCTGCAGATACCACCTCATGCTACTAGTAGCGACAAGGACACTAGCAAAACAAAAAAGTAAAGAAGAATTAGTCAGGAAGGATAAAGAGAGATCAGCTGTCTGTGGCCAGCACATGCAAAACCAATCCATTTTTGGGGGTTGACTTGATTTTGCCTCTCCATTGCACCTGTTGTCACTTTAATTTGCAGGTGAAACTGATTCATTATCACTTGTGCTTCCTAAATGGACAGATTGATATCCCTGAAATTAAACTGACTTGCTGTTACTCTTTGACGATTAAATGTTCCCTTAATTCTTTATTGAGCAGTGTATATATAGCATTGGCAGATAACAGAATACATGTAAATGTTACACTTTTGGAATATAAAATATTCTTAACTGTATTTAGCTTGTTACAATTTAAATTGGTGGCAATTAGATGTCTGCATTATTCACTTGCTTAGCAAACTTTAAAATAGTTGTAGTTTAGTTAAACACCTACTAGTCAAACTAGAATCACGATCAAAGGCCACAAAGTCCCCCTAAATTCAGTCAAGTCTTAGAGTGGTGGGTGGCTGTGGCTCAGGACATAGAGTGGGTTGTCCATTAACCAGAAGGTCAGGGGTTCAATCCTTGTCTCCTTCAGCTCCATGTGTCTGTATCCTAAATTGCCCCTGATGGTTGTGAGACATATGAGATAGATTAGGTGCTGCACATGTTGAATGGTTGAATGGCAAAACTGTAGAAGAACTTAAAAAATGGCTAAATAAATGCAGACCATTTACCTATACTTAAGCCAACAAAGCAATGCGGATCATGAAATCATAATCTCTTTTTTTTTTGCACGTTTTTTTCATCAAAATCAGTAAAAATATCCACAAAAAAACCCGCCCTATGTCGCAAAGTAAAAACATGGATCTGCTGCTTTGTCTAAATCTGTGTGCAAATCTGTTCAGGAGTTTTTGCGTTTCCCCTGCTGACAGGCATAAACATAACCATCTTGGCGTAGGTTAATTCTCAGAAACGTCTAATTCTGGCAAAGTTTGGGCTCATTATTATTGTCTATGTAAAATACCTTGAGATAATGCATATTATGATTTGGCGCTACATAACTAAAATTGAATTATCTCGCTACAGTAGGAATCCTTCTCCACAAAGGTGATATCGGAGGGTGCAGCCTGTCTATGAGGAATGAGCAGGTACAGTGCAGGCTTGATACACTGTAATATCATGCTCTCTCCTGTTTGTCTCCTTACATATTTCTTACATACTTATCTCCCCAGAGGTGCTTCGTTGGGTTGAGGTTGGGTGACATACTGGCCACTGCGGTGTTTTTACTTTGTTCTTGTTTGGTAATGTAGTAGTAGGGTTACAGAAATGTTTAAGGTCATTGTTGAGAAAGTGCCAGATGCCCCATGGTATGGAGAAAGGCACTAAATCTGGAAATCTAAGTCATCCAGAAACGATTTGCTAGTCCTCTTGTACCCCGTCCTTTCCTGTGCAATTAAGAAACTCAAGACAATTCTTTTCCACGTGGTGCCACTGTCAGCATTAAATCTTAGCGTGATTCAATGAGTTGAAAAACTAATGTACTACTTTATCTTTGAAATGGTTTGACTCATTATTTATCCTTGACTAGCCCCAGAAAACATTTTATATACTGCAATTTTGTGACTTCCAGGATGAAAAAAAATCATATTTCCCTGTTCAGTATTGAGTCATCAATGCATGTAACAGATCAGAGATGAAGGAATATTAAGCAAAATGACTTATTTGTTAAATAAAAAACCTTTATTCATGCTGCATTTTGTAGGTGTCTGTAGTAATCATTTTTTGAAAGTCCTTGTTGAATTGGACTTTGATTATATTATACATATACACATTCAGTACATAACACATTTTTAGCATGTATTGACTATTTCCAGACCCTTTAATGACAACAGTATGTTACTTGATGCTGAGAGAATTCACATCTAAATGGCATCAGCCGGGGAAACAAGGAGGTTGCATTCAGCCAGTTAGGACAGCAGTTCCTGAGAGAGCAGTTCCTGACCTTGGTTGAAATCCCTGACGAGTGGTGGTTGTAATAAATGTCAAAGGAGCATAAACAGAACCATAGCTTCTCAAGTCAGTCACACATCATTTCTTTGTGTGGGACATTCTGCAGCTCATCCGATGGTTTTTGAGTCTATGGGCTGTGTGTGTGTTTTGTCATCCATTGCCTCCTTGTTGTCCGAACCTACTGACTGCTGCTCAGCCAACATGTCTGTTAGCTTCAGCTTGAGCACAGGACCCATGGACTCTGCTGACACCTGCTGGATAAAAGCAGAATTGTAATGATGTGTTTAGACAGCAGTGAAGGCCATTTGTGGTCGGCGCAGAGGTCAAGTCAACCAATAATAGACCAAAATAGCCAAATATTACAAATGCTCCTCACAGGGCTGAACAATCTATACAGTATACAATTCTCACTGTCCCCAAAATCTCTAAACTTATAGAAAATCATAGACAGAAGAGTGTTTTAAGAAAATATTCAGAGCCCATCCCTTTTTTCATATTTTGTTTTATTACAGTCCTATGCAAAGGAAAAATCCCTCATCAATCCATAGCAACAGGGCCAGATGTAAGAAGAGTCCTGGTTATTCCAAATGTCTTCCATTTAAATAATCATCAAGGCCACTGTGAATCTTGGCAACATTCAGTTTTGTGTTTCCACACAGTCTTGTCTCTGAGCTCTGCAGGCAGCTCCTTGAACCTCAGATCTTGGCTTTCTGCAAACCATTCTAAAATTATTTTTGCTTTTTTTCATTATGGTTTAGTGATTGCAGATTGAGAAATGAATACATGAATAATGGCTGCAATAAAGCAGGTGAAAAACTTACTGAATGCTCTTTAGTTTAAAAAATAGAAACTGGGAGGATGTTGAATAATTTCCACTTGCTGCCGAACAGATTTGAGTCAATCAGATTTTTAGTCTGATTTTAGAAGAATTACTTCCTGGGAATCACTTTGTACACAAGATTCACACAATATCTCTTGCCTTAAGTGATGTTTGGTTTTCAACACAGAACTGCAGATAATCATTAATATGGTATAATTAGAATTTGATGATGCTATACTTTAGCTATATAGAACTATAGCAGATCAGTAACAATTTTATTATGTCCGAGTTGTAACACAGCATTGTATAATGATGATCTCAGGTAAGTGTTTGCTCAAAGTCTGGACTGCCACTTCATTTTCAATTAATTACATAGCCCGGCCCATAAGGAAGTAGGGCCATATTTTTCTAGCATTCAGCATGAGAGCAGAGAACACTGGCTGCCTTCTCTGTTTCCACCAAAGTTAGGTTAGCAATGCAGTCAAATTTGCAGCTTACCATACCGTTACCCTGTGTTGCCCTGGGTCAATAATGGAGAAAAAGGGCTGATGACTGTGTTGATGACTGCGTTGATGACTGCGCTGACAACATGAGTCTGGAATCAGCAGCTATCTAATTGATGATATTAAGGTAGCAACCATAGTTAGTACTTTTATTTTTAGCAAGAAACTTACCGGATGAGCTCCTCTCCTCCTCAACACAATGCCCTCTGAGAGTAAAGCCTTGCCAGTTTCCTCAAACAGAGCAGACTCTTCCAGCTCGTGGTGGCTCTGTAACTCTGTGTATTTGTCTACAAATCTACCACAACAAAGTGAGAGAAAAACACAGGCAGCAATATTACCACAGATGTACTTTATTCCTATCAAAATATGAATATTTATAATTTCCCTCACTGTCAATTTGGTGTTCACTTGACAACATGACACATGTGAACACACACATTCAACCACATTTCTTTACATTGTTTGGCTGCTTTCATGATTGTATGCAAAAAAATGTACATTGTCATCCATACCTTTGACACGTAGACACAAAGGATAATTTGGTGAGATCAATAGCCCGAGGACCTGCCCCATACTGCTCATAGAACTTCCTGAAAGGCAGACAGTTGTTGTTGAAATGCATGCAGAACTTTCCATCAAAACTGTTTTTAATAAATTCAGATGAGAGAAAGTAAAATGGCAGATCTAATTTAAATTTCATAAAGATTTAAAGGTCTTGACCTTCTATGTAAGGTGCCTTGAGATAATGTATATTATGATTTGGCGCTATACAAATAAAATTGAATTGAAATGTTTTTCATCTTTGCATTTTGGTGTAATGTGTTGGGTATAATTTCAAATTGTAAAAACTCTATTACGGGTGGTATGACTTGCTGGCTGAAATGAGGACGAGAGGGAACTTTGTAAAGGGGCTCAGGTACTTGGAGTGTGTGTTTGAACCCTGGGTTCTCAACAACAGAGATCAGTCGCATGTCTGCTGCTATGAAAACACTCATTATTGCTTTGACAGGGCCTGAATTAGTTGCAAGCGGCAGCTTTAATGCTGCAGAGAGCTGGGTTTGCATGGAACTCATTTTTTCCTTGTCCCATAAATGGTAGTGGGACTTCACTCTGGTGATGTCGTTTCAAACGAGTCGGGATGTTCGATGTGCTACCAGCTACGTATCTGATTGCAGTTGAGCAATGTCAGCATTCAGCTTTCGTCTGATCCACTCGTCTTTGTCGTCATTATAGTGACTGCGACACTGAAGTGTTCCCACACAGCACACTTGCGGTCGCTATGACCACTAGCACATCCAGTTCTTTGCTAAAGTTGTCTCTCGGAATTTGAGACCGTCACATACACAAATAAGTTCCGCACATGTACTGGCTGCATTCATTTACCGAACCAAAAGGCCCTTATCGGAAATTTTCGGTTCGGATACATGTACCGTTACACCTCTAATAACAACACACCTCATCCATGTTACTTTCACAATATTTTTCAATATGCAGGTGTAAGGAAGCACAGCTCCTGTTATTACCGCTGTTAAAAGTTGACTTACGCTCTAATTTCATCCTCTCTGTAGAAGATATCAGGCACTGTTTCCTGTTTCTTGGAGCTGGCTCTGGTGTATGGCTTCACGTGAAGTGGGTCCCTCTTAGGTGGAAAAGCCTGGAATACGTCATACCAGATGGGTTTCTTTGCCGGCTGAATGACTCCAGAGCGCATCAGATCTCGGACCCTGTCACCAGAGGCCATCACAAAATTGATTAGTGAAATGCGATTGGACAGCAGTGTCATTAACTACAGCAGAAATGTACACAGAGAAAAAAGTAATTTCCAACTTGGAGCTGTTCTTGATCTCAAGTGGGGGGCTCCAGGCACACAAAGCCGGGCATGGACCCAGATGTTTGGACAGTTAATAAGTTATGTTTTACAGTATTTATCAACTCTATCTCTAAATGAACGCATCGATTCAGTGACTGAACACAATCGATTCACGGCTATATTCATTGTTTTAGCAGGTTTCAATCGCTAAATAGTTACAACGACCATGCTCTCTATTTAACAACTGAATACGTATTATGAGCTGCTTTTAGATATGCACTGAACTCCACAGAACCTCTGGGCATCTCTGGACAGGCTGAACGCACATGTCCCAGTGAGAGCCTCCTGACTCTCTGTGGACCTTCTCCAGCCAGACCCAAAGTCCTGTGAACACTATCATGTGTCCAATAAATGGTGACCCTGTTTGGCCTTTGACCTAGTCTCAGGTTTTGGCCCTCTCTGAGTTTGACACCACTGATTTGGAGACTTAGTTGCAGTCGGTTCAGTCCTGGTTGACTTGATTCCTGCTTTCTTACTTTCAATAGTGTGACACGTTTTAGAAAGCGCTGGAACTTTAGACTTTGTCTTGACCGAAACCATGAATTACCATTATTCACTATCTGTGGCGATATTAGTGCTGCCTGGGAACCAACCGGATTTACGTTACACTGCTGACGTAACGCAAGCTAACGCTGCTGTTGTTAGCATGGCAGCTACAGAATGGGTTATGGCCATAGACTGTATATAAAGAGGTTATGACATTAACTTCCCCAGGTGTCTGACTGAAGAACCCTGCGGTGTGTGTCCCAGCTGCCAGACACGGTGCACACCAGCCTGCACGCTGCGTGGTCACACGTGAGTCAGTCGGACAAGAGGTTAACGTGATGCCCTTCACTGACACGTTAGCGTCCCCTGTTAGCTGCTAAGCTAGCAAACGAGCACACGCAGTGGTAACACGCTCTGCTGTTCTTACCGGGTGAAAACTGTTCCATACTTCTCCAACCTGCTGCCCGCCATTCAGCTTAGTTTCACCGCACAACCAGCGGCGAGCGGAGCACACACGAGATGAGATGTTGCTCAAATAACCTGCGTGGACGAGATTTCCGGTCGGATTGTAGGTCGTTGCTTTTTCTTCAGAATAAAAGTCTAAGCTTACTGTTTTTCCATTGCTGCACAGGTCGGTACATCACTTGCACTGGTAGTAAATGACATGTATTTATCAGGTACATACTCTTATCTGCTTCACACTTTATTAAATGAAATTGTCCACACTGGTGAACTAATTGAGGGCAAGTACAATAATATTCTATCCAATATTGCAACACTCCACGTTTAAATAGACATCTTGTTTGTGGATTTGATGATCAAAGAAAAAAAGTTTATTTCAGACTTTTATTGCGAAGGCTACGTACATCAACTGGAACCTATAATTTCACTTCCCTCTTGCCTTGATTTCCATTTAATCACAGCACGTCACCTTTTCCTCCTTTACCTCTTATTTTAGGTCACTAAAAACTTCATATTTCGATATGTTGATACACATTTTATTTACAATTATAATTACATTTCCATTCGTTTTAGAAACACTGAGAGGGAAACTCCAGTAATGGTGATTAGAAATGTGTTGC